TATCCAATTGCCAAAGTAAGCTTTTGCACTGCCAAGATTTAATAAATGATTGAGTTTCAACTGTCTATTAGATGACTGTAATGCACGATCCATGTCTAGATAAGCGACGAACAGAGCCTTTCCAAGCATAAACTGAGGTCAATTCCCTTCTTTGGCTACATCCGCAATCTTGTTTTGCACAAAAGTAAAACAATAATCTCCAACTTCTTTGTTTTATTATACAATAATAATTTATCACAGTCGTTTTTTGTACTGATAAAATCCAGTTGTGGTTTTCAGTTAAGACGTATATGGCTTAATGGATCGAAATACTTGGTCTCAGTTAAACTATTAATTTTTCATATCTAGGCCTTTGATATGTCCAATACACTTTATCATTACCCAATGTTTTCTCTTGAAATAGCAGTAATAATGCTATTTATGCGTAATAAATACCTTGGCGTCTAGTATCAAATAAATATTTCAGTTTTGGAAGTCCACTACAGGGCGGTCAAAATTTTAAAATACAAATTTTGGTATTTTGCTAGCCATCCAACCTTTCCCATGGGGTGTTACATAATTATAAAGCTATTGAAATTGTATATGTTTTCTTTTGTTGCTCACACCTAGAACGCTCTCGAGTGAAGTATGCAGACAGTGCTCATCAATAACCTAGATATATCGGAAGCATGTTACCTCGTTACTTTTATTGCTGACCGATGTAATCCAACACATTTTGATCACTTCTGCAGCCGCATTCCACAACTCGTAACACTCCAGCATTTCTAGAAAGCAGTCCGCAAATGTTCATAGCACAAATACGAAGCGAGGATGTGAAATGTTCAAGATGAATAAAAAAGGTCAAATTCAATCAAAGATAGTGATGAGTCGCCCAGCCACATTGAACAGCAGCGGATGAGCGGTATATTTTGGAAAGGCGAAGAAATGCCAATTACGCATGATACTGCACATGACTCACATCTAGTTCTTTTGCTTGAATTCAGTCAGTCGACATTATACATAGACATTCTGCTGTTCAGATCTGCTCTAGTGGGGTATCACAACTTTCAGAAAGCCATTAAGACACGTTTTTTCTCAGTTGAACTCCCTCGCCCATCCTGAAGCTATGCATAAACCCAGGCTGGTACGCACCAAGCTTGCCGGTGCGATCATGCATTTTTGCAGTAAACTCGCAGATCGCTAACAGCAGGAATGATCCCTGCGCTGTAGCCTAACACATGGGCTCATACGCAGGAGAAAGGGCATCGGTTGGGATGAAGGTATTGCATTACAGGGCCGCGTAAACCTGCAGGTACACGATTACCAGTTTTTTGCATGAAGCTCGGTCGTTCTTTCGGTAAATGCTCGCTTTTGAAAAAATGCGAATTTCCAGTTCATTAAAAAGTGGAAATGTTGCAAGAGCGGTTGTTCGTCAAAAAATTTAAGTATGCAAATGAACTGGATATTCATTTACATATTTGGATGAGGCCGGTCGTTCGCTGCAAAACGCACTCGTTTCTGATTTTTCAGTAAAGTTGAGTATTTCTCGCAACCACCTGCAGGGAATTTCACTTCCAAGCAAAGTAAAGACCGGACTTGAAATTAGAATATCCCAGCAAAGTTTCAACCTCGCAGTGTGCCTCAATTCGTGGCGCAAATGCAAATCGTTATTCATTTTAGGTATAGGATTTCCCATATGAGCCATGCTGACAAAATTTCAGCCACTACTTTTCAACAAGTTCTCGAGTTAGCACAGCACCAATTTGCAAACGTTGACGTGGTCGTATGCACTGCACAAGCGTCCATGATAGCTAAATATGAAAACTTTAGCTCGCAAAGCACAAAAATTTTCCTTGCAAAGTTTCAGCGTTGTACCTTGCCTGGTTCACGAAATAGTCGCCGCCAAAGAATTTTGCATATTTTTTTTCGGGGATCCATGCGCGTGGTCTAGGTGCGTGTAGGGGGAAATTTTAAAATGGGGGGATGACACATGGGGAAGGAACATATGCCCAAAATTTCAGCCTCCCAGCTTTCCTGGTTGCTGAGATGAAAGTAGGTGCCAAAATTCACTCGCTTCTGAACATACACACACACACACACATACACACACATGTACACAACACACACATACATACACACAGACGACCTTTCGACAATGTGTTTTTGTAAGCTGTAGCGTTGCTATAGATTGCTGCCTAGCAAAAACGGATAACTAGGAATACAGTTGTAGCACTGCCACTCAGAGTTACTTTAGGCCTTAACTTAGTTTGGTTTTAGCTCTAGACCCGAGCTTTTGAAGCACTGGTACCTGCGCCGCTGAGGACGTGGAAGAGGGTGGCGGGTGAATAACCACCCCTCTTTTCCTGGATTCGCCTATGTTTCGTTGCTGCCAAGAAAACAAACGGAATCCTTGACGATTTCTCTCAAC